GCCATAAATTAAAGCGACATTGTACAATTCCGAACTCATCACGAGACTGTGTTTATGAATCACTGTCGATTAGTGGTGACATATAGTGGAAACAATACGCGAATTCGCGCATGAACAGAACGGAAAATTTGGACAAGGCATTAAGCAATCCGCATGCGCAGAACGATTGATTTCAGTACTTCCGCTAGGCGCTTCGAGTACAGCGTCAAACTCAGGCCTGTCATCTAACACGCGAGAACTGACCAATGAAATCTGAGAAGTAGGAATACTGGTAGACGCTGTTGCTTGATTGACAATGCAAATCAAGAAAGGGAGGAGCTTGATGATATCGTTCTCTCCCAGTAAATTCCGATGTCAAATAACGACGTTATTTGGACAGAAAAACGATGGTTTGAAAGAGTCCAAATAACGTCGTTTTTCCGTCCAATGACTATATACGGAAAAAAATGACGTTTTCGTGTTTGCAGTGGAATTTAGTTGTACAGTTAGTGCGAGAGAGGAAGTTAAGTTGTACAGTTAGTGCGAGAGAGTGAATTTAGTTGTACAGTTAGTGCGAGAGAGTGAATTTAGTTGTACAGTTAGTGCGAGAGAGGGAATTTAGTTTACAGTTAGTGAGAGAGAGGGAATTAAGTTGTACATTTTGTGATAATGAGGAGCTTTAGTTATTCAGTTAGTGCGAGAGAGGAAATTTAGTTGTACTTTTAGTGCAAGAAAGGGAACTTGGTTGTAGAGTTACTGGAAAAGAGGGAATCTATAGGGCGAGAGAGGGAATGTGGTTGTACAGTTTGTGCGAAAGAGGGAATTTAGTTTTACAGTTAGTGCGAGAGAGGGAATTTAGTTGCACAGTTAGTGCAAGAAAGGGTCTTCAGTTGTACAGTTTGTGCTAATGAGGAATTTAAGTTGTACAGTTAGTGCGAGAGAGGGAATTGCGTTGTACAGTTACTCGAAAAGAGGGAATCTTTAGGGCGAGAGATGGAATGTGGTTGTACAGTTTGTGCGAAAGTGGGCATTTAGTTTTATAGTTAGTGCGAGAGAGGGAATTTAGTTGCACAGTTAGTGCGAGAAAGGGAATTCAGTTGTACAGTTTGTGCTAATGAGGAATTTTAGTGGTACAATTAGTGCGAGAGATGGAATTTAGTTTTCAGTTAGTGCGAGAGAGAGATTTAAGTTGTACAGTTAGTGAGAGAGAGGGAATTAAGTTGTACAGTTTGTGTGAGAGAGGGAATTCAGTTGTGCAGTTTGTGCGATAGGGGGAATTTAGTTTACAGTTTGTGCGATAGAGGGAATTAAGTTTACAGTTAGTGCGAGAGAGGAAGTTTAGTTGTACAGTTAGTGCGAGAGAGGGAATCTATAGGGCGAGAGAGGGAATGTGGTTGTACAGTTTATGCGAAAGAGGGAATTTAGTTTGACAGTTTGTGCGAGAGAGGGAATTTAGTTGTACAGTAAGTGCGAGAGAGGGAATTAAGTTTTACAGTTTGTGAGAGAGAGGGAATTGAGTTGTGCAGTTTGTGCTAATAAGGAATTTTAGCTGTACAGTTAGGGCGAGAGGGGGAATTTAGTTGTACAGATTGTGAGAAAAAAGGAATTTAGTTGTACAGTTACAGGAAAAGAGGGAATCTATGGGGCGAGAGATGAAATGTGGTTGTACAGTTTGTGCGAGAGAGGGTATTAAGTTGTACAGTTTGTGAGAGAGAGGGAATTTAGTTGTGCAGTTTGTGCGAATAAGGAATTTAAGTTGTACAGTTAGTGCGAGAGCGGGAATCTAGTTGTACAGTTTGTGAGAAAAAGGGACCTTAGTTGTACAGAAAGGGACTTTAGTTGTACAGTTACTGGAAAAGAGGGAATCTATAGGGCGAGAGAGGGAATGTGGTTGTACAGTTTGTGTGAGATAGGGAATTGAGTTGTACAGTTTGTCAGAGAGAGGGAATTTGGTTGTTTAGTTAGTGCAAGAGAGAGAATTCAGTTGTGCAGTTAGTGTGAGAGAGGGAATTTAGTTGTGCAATTACTGCGACAGAGGGAATTAAGTTATACAGTTAGTGAGAGAGAGGGAATTAAGTTGTACAGTTAGTGAGAGAGAGTGAATTAAGTTGAACGGTTAGTGCGAGAGAGGGAATAAGTTTACAGTTTGTGAGAGAGAGGGAATTAAGTTGTACATTTTGTGCTAATGAGGAACTTCAGTTGTACAGTTAGTGCGAGAGAGGGAATTTAGTTTACAGTTACTGCGAGAGAGGGAATTAAGTTGTACAGTTAGTGAGAGAGAGGGAATTCAGTCGTACAGTTAGTGCGAGAGAGGGAATTTAGTTGTACAGTTAGTGCGAGAAAGGGAAATTCAGTTTTCAGTTAGTGCGAGAGAGGGAATTTAGTTTACAGTTAGTGCGAGAGAGGGAATTAAGTTTGACGGTTAGTGCGAGAGAGGGAATTAAGTTGAACAGTTTGTGCGAGAGACGGAATTTATTTGTACAGGTAGTACGAGAGAGGGAATTAAGTTGTACAATTAATGCTAGAGAGGGAATTCAATTGTACAGTTAGTGTGAGAGAAGGAATTAAGTTGTACAGTTAGTGCGAGAGAGGGAATTAAGTTTACAGTTAGTGCGAGAGAGGAAGTTTAGTTGTACAGTTAGTGCGAGAGAGGGAATTTAGTTTACAGTTAGTGAGAGAGAGGTAATTAAGTTGTACATTTAATGCTAATGAGGAGCTTTAGTTGTACAGTTAGTGCGAGAGAGGAATTTAAGTTGTACAGTTAGTGCGAGAGAGGGAATTGCGTTGTACAGTTACTGGAAAAGAGGGAATCTATAGGGCGAGAGATGGAATGTGGTTGTACAGTTTGTGCGAAAGTTGGCATTTAGTTTTATAGTTAGTGCGAGAGAGGGAATGTAGTTGCACAGTTAGTGCGAGAAAGGGAATTCAGTTGTACAGTTTGTGCTTATGAGGAATTTTAGTTGTACAGTTAGTGCGAGAGAGGGAATTTAGTTTTCAGTTAGTGCGAGAGAGGGAATTAAGTTGTACAGTTAGTGCGAGAGAGGGAATTAAGTTGTACATTTAGTGAGAGAGAGGGAATTTAGTTTTCAGTAAGTGCGAGAGAGGGAATTAAGTTGTACAGTTAGTGCGAGAGAGGGAATTAAGTTGTACAGTTAGTGAAAGAGAGGGAATTAGGTTGTACAGTTTGTGTGAGAGAGGGAATTCAGTTGTGCAGTTTGTGCGATAGAGGGAATTTAGTTGTACAGTTTGTGCTAATGAGGAATTTAGTTATACAGTTAGTGCGAGAGAAGGAATTAAGTTGTAAAGTTTGTGCGAGATGGGAAGTTTAGTTGTACAGTTTGTGCGAGAGGGGAGTTTAGTTGTACAGTGTGTGGCGTGATACTGTATAGGCATACAGGGAAATCACTCACCTTCACAATTTTGCACAGAGGTGTTATTCATATCATTTAACTTTTTGAAATATTTTAACCACATAAGGACACGAAGTTCATATAACAAAGTGTACATGTAATTGTGCAAGCTAATTGAGTAACTGGTTAAAAACGTTCGAATTTCCGTCTTTCCTTCATCCTACAGAGCTATGGCCTCACGTCGGGATGTCACATTGCAGCGAAGTCACAGCTACAATGAACTACCATTGACATTTGTCTTGAGCAATATTCGACTCATCCTCTGTCATAGATAACACCGATATCTTTGACGATTTAATTCATTTTCTTTAATTCTCGTCTGTACAGCTTCATTCTAGCTATAGACGCACTGAAAACATATCCAATGCACTTCCTAATTCACGGCTGATTCACCCTGAACTACTAGACTCGGGGTCAGCAGTCGCATTAATTTGGAGTCACATTAATTTCTAGATTTACATTACTTACTGCGCATGGTTACTTTTCCAGATACATTCTCTCCCAGCATCGATAAATAGTGTTGTTATAAGCTTAAAATGCGTCTCAAAAACATTAGAAAATGATAACTTAATTGAAACAAATTAAACCGTTTATAGTTGCAATAATGAGTTGCATGAGATATACAAAGTCCGTGACAGAACTTTTAGTTCGAAAGGAATTAAAAGAGAAAAGACATTTTACATTTATCACAAGAGTATTCTGGACATTCCATATTTATCATTGGATTAGTTCCATGTTATCGTCGATAAGTTAATGAATCAAGCAGAGAGGTAAGATACTTTTCATTTGTAGCATCCGGAGTGCGCCACACATTCAATAGAGAGATGATCAATCTGGCACGTAGGCTTCGGTATTTTTCCGATTACGACAAACATGAGTTCATGGTCAGATCTAACTTTTAACGAATCAAAATAAGGTATTGTGACATGTGACAAAGACAGGCTAGGCCCGAACACTGTAAAATTATACCTTCAACATCAGGAGAAGAGAGCGCGGTTTGCAGTCGATCGGGTCGAATCCCGATCGATTTAAGTTTTCCCATTTAGTGACGAGCCCGGTCTGATCCTGTCGTGTTATTGATAGATGGACTGAGAGTAAGTAATACCATGTGAGTATAAAGCTGGTGTTGCGTTTCCTTATTATGAGAGTATGAATGCTGATGGAGATAACTTGGAGTAAGCGTCGTTAGACCAATCACTCCTTGGAGCTGAGCCGATGTTGACAAGGCGAGTTGCACAGTCATGGCTTAACTGACCATGGTGACCAGGAACGGCAATACTTTCATTAACTGTAGTTGGGTCGCAACTGACGCCCGAAAGCAGCTACGACAGGGTGTGTTTTGATATTTGCGAGTATTATTGTGTATTCGTGTTGTCATACAAGGTATCATAACATCATAACATTCCAGAGTGACGCCATGTCTGTCTCAAGACTGAGAGATGTACGGAACATGGCTGATAACGTTTGTATCTCAAAACGATAACAACGTAGGTTGAAACGAAAATTCCGTGCATGGAATACTCAATAACATCGCAAATCTCAAAAATATATTGACCTGTTGTCCTAAGACTGTGCGCACGATCTAAGATCCCAAAACGTGTTGTGCGTGACCTGTAATATGTGCCATATTTCCTCCATAGGGTCTGTCCTTGGCACATCTGATGTAGACACTGTCTGGATGAAGACCACCATTCAGGGCTACTTCTCCCAGTCACGGAACCACGGCACAGGCTCGACCTACAAAGAGGCGGCAAAGAATTTCATCTTGAAGGAGTTCGGTGACTACGGCTTGGAGACCCACACACATACTTTTGCCACAGGTGTCTCGACGGTAACGTCATCAACGTTTAACATTACCCAGCATTAGTATGCTGATGTCCCCAGTTTGGATCCCGTTTAAGAATTGGTCCTCGGCAACCTGTGCTGGGTATAAGAGGTGACTTCACGGATCGGGTATTCAGGTTCGGTCACTGGGTTGAAGGCGTGTCAACGTACCCCGACAGTGTGGATCGTTGCTCACAATATCAATCACGGGTTTGTTTCGATTATTTACAGGCAACCTGTCATATAGCTGGAATACTGCTGAGTGCGAGATTACACAAGAAGCACACACACGCACGCATACAAAATTTTATTTTTATTTTTTAAAACTCATAGATTGCATGTACGTATGCAACTAAACGTACACTTTAAAAAAAAGTCCATTGTGTTATGCTGAATAACGTTCTGCATTCTGCGCTCCTCAATAACTTTCCATGTTGCATTCCTGCGTATGTTCCATAAAGCATTTCTAAATAACGTTCACTATTTCTCCCCTCACTACTATTCAATAATGCACTCCTCAATAACTTTCTTTATCATACACCTAGCAATGACACGAGACATTTTGCATTTGCAATAGAGCCAACGTGGAGACGCTCCTATCACAGGGGTTGTAATAACCAGACACGTATTACATCCTCAACCGGGCTGATATGGCTTGTCAATGCATTTTGAATGGGCGGACGATATGAGCCAGGGTGGTAAGAGTTACGTCCCTGCTCGTCTGCTCAGCAAGCTTTCCCGAGCCAATGACTTCCAGGTGAAACTGTTTGGAATTCACTTGCAAATAGATACATTTTACACTTTTATGTTATGGTATATGATAAAAAGGTTATTATGTGGCAGTTTTCAAATCGGGCTGATATTCGGTATCGGGTTGACATGGGATGTGATATGAAAACTGCCATAGATTAACCTCTAACTATTGCAGCCCCTATTGACGTCCTTTGTTACCGAAGTGGTACTGCGTGTACGTCAGCAGGTATCATAACACTTCCAAGGAATTTGTCTGGGTGCTACGCACACTTTGACCTTTCTAATACTACTTTTGATTCAGCAAGGGAGATATGGAGATACAACTTCTTTATTACAAAGAATGTGACGTTTCGGTGTAATGTTTCGGTGAAATGTGAAGTAGGAAGGTTATATACATGTGGATAATTGATGCATATATGATACAGTCAATGTGTAAAATCATTCAAGTGGTAATGTGCCTAATTTTCACTGAGTCAATTTACGAAACGCCAACATATTTCAGTCACGTTACAATTTAAATATTTTCCCGTCAGTGTAACTTAAAACTATTGAGAATTTCATCGATAAAAACATCGATATACTTATTATGCTAGGACGAGTTGTTTTTATTCAAATTTCTTTAACTGATAGTTTCTCTATTTCAGGTCAAAGGCAACAACGTTATTGGCATTTCGAAAGGAAAGCTTTTCAAAACAGCCAATGACAGGATAGTTGGAGTCGCCGCTCATTACGACACTGCGACGGGTACTCCAGGTGAGTTTGTGTTGCCAAACCCTCACTCGTGATATATTCAAAGGAAATACTTTTACATCATAACTTTATTCATGAATGAGTTAAAGTTTTTATACGCCTCAGTCAGAAATATGACAAATATGTATAAATGGTGTCTGTCAGCAAAGCCATTTCCATTTGTTGTTTAACGCCGCAATATTCCAGCTTAACGCCCAACACAGCAATATTCCAGCTATATGACGGCGGCCTGTAAATAATCGAGTCTAGGCAAGACAATCCAGTGATTGACATCATGAGCATCGATCCACACAATTGGGAAACGATTCCATGCATCAACCAAGTCAGCGAGCCTGACCTCCTTTTAAGACAAGCAAGGTTTGCTGAAGGCCTATTCTAAACCGGGTCTTTACGGGACTACTACTACTACTACTACTACTACAACTACTACTACTACTACTACTACTACTACTACTACTACTACTACTACTACTACTGTCATTTATGATGTGCCAAAATTCTAACTAGTACTGCTGCGGCGCTACATATTATAAGAGTGAGTGAGTGAGTGAGTATGATTTTACGCCGCGTTCAGCAATATTCCAGCAACATCACGGCGGGGACACCAGAAATAGGCTTCACACATTGTACCCATGTCGGGAATCGAACCCGGGTCTTCGGCGTGACGGGAGAACGCTGTAACCACTAGGCTACCCCACCGCCCACATATCATTTGAAATCTGGTCATCAATGTATGAGAGTACACTCGAATTTCAATCTCATCTCCCTGGGGAGTAACTGCCCAAGTTATTCGATCTACATTTAACTTTATCATAATTTCACCTTTTAAACATGAAAAATATGTGTGAAATATGAAATTTTCCTTTATTTACCGGCCGCCTCCGTGGTCTAGTGGAGCGGAAGGTCCGGGTTCGATCCCCGACCGCGACATACAAAATGACGTTAAAAGATGGTACTTTTTGTTACCCTGTCTGGCGCTCGGCATTAAGGGGCTAAAGCAAGGACTGATCGGCTCGGAGTCAGTATACTGTATCTGAGTGGGGTATTCATGTAAAATTGCGGCATGGTAACCTGGTGTCCTGGCACGAAAAGCAGCCACACACACACACACACACACACACACACACACACACACACACACACACACACTCACTCACTCACTCACTCACTCACTCACTCACTCACTCACTCACTCACTCACACACACACACACACACTCACTCACTCACTCACTCACTCACTCACTCACTCACTCACTCACTCACTCACTCACTCACTCACTCACTCACTCACTCACTCACACTCACACTCACACTCACTCACACTCACACACACACACACCATGGCCAGTGCATGCAATAATCGTAGGTGCGACGTTAGACCCCATTTCACCTCACCTCACCTGCATTCACCATTTTTTCAGGCGTGAATGCAAACGGAGCCGGGGTCGTGGCCATGTTGCAGGCGGCCAAACATCTCGCCAAGTTTACTCGAGACTACACCGTGGTGTTTGTTGCATTCGACTTCTTGGAGCCTGGATCAGGTTTGAATATTTTAAAGCAATGTTTTCCCCCAACAAACTAGGACCTAACATGAATAACACCCAAACAGGTTTTCCATCTATTTATTGATAATGTTTCTGCCCGGAGCTGAAGGTTTGAATATATTTGAAGCAATTTACAACAAGAAAAAAACGTATATTTTCACCCTTAAAAATGACTTTTGCATGTTAATTCCCTACCCATTAGAACAACAATGACACCTTCAGGTTCCCGTCAGCTAAATGTAGCCAGCGATAATAGTAGCCACATTGGTACTTCATCACTACATTAGTCGCCCCCCAGCAATTGGATCATTGGAACCTTGTCTCTCTTGGATTGCGTACCAGCGCCGGTAGGCTTGTCCTTAAAGACCAAGACATTCGTTGTGCGGAGGTGCGTCCCTCAGTACCCCCTTTGACTTATGATCGCGGGTGTTCGAATGCCAGATTCGCCAGGAGTATGATGCGTGGGATAAAACACGCCTCCGAGGTTTTGCTTGAAAATGTAAAACCGCTAGCCGTTTGCCCGAGGCCTTTTCCCGAGATCAAGGTTTAAACTTTTACATTTTCAACCAAAACCGACAAGGCGTGTTTTATCCATTATGAACCGTTTAAATGCCAGGAATATTAGAAAGCATAAGAAAACATCGAGGTACCTTAAAGTAAAACAATACTGCGTGTCGCGGTCGAAGGAATTCGATCAAAGCGTTCTGGCGAAAAACCACGTGCAGCATGTACCAGCTGGAGTCATGACATGTAAAACTGAACAAATGTTGGAAAACTGAGTTACAGAACTTAACACGACATGTGAGGTTACAGGTAAAGTGGTAACATGATATGCCGTGATATAATTGAAATACTGTTCAAAGCTGCGATAAAAACATGATAAGGTTTTCTGTTTTGCATGGTTTGTCATTCTTTCGCCAATATGAACCGATGAATTACAGACTAAAAACATGAATCATAGATCGTTAAACATTCAGAAGTAAGATGTTCCCATTTATACATATATGTATAACGTAATTTATCAGTGGAATAGGGATTTGAATGAGAAATTAGGGGAATACGTAACTATGCCTGTTTGATAAATTTGTTCAACATTATTGACACCAACATAGAAAAACAACCTTATGTAAAACTGTTAGCACATTAAGTATTAAAACCTATATGCCTCCACAGTGAGTGAGTGAGTTGGGTTTAACGCCGCTTTTAACAGTATTCCAGTTATATCACTACGTGTTAGCTTTATCAGGGAGTCCGAAGTGAAGAGGGTCTCAGACGTTTACCACTTTGGTGAAACGCACAAGCACAGGTATGGTACTTACAAACCTAGAAACCTAATCGGGGCGAACCTGGATTCGAACCCACAATCACAGGTTTTTGACATGCTCAAGGAACGCAACTCTGCACAGTGAAGTGCGGCGTCTAAGACGACTGGGCGACGCTATAGTAAAGTATGGCGCGGCAGTTTACAGTGCTCATACATATCCTAGAAAAAGTTCAATTCTTTTAGGAAGGTTTCATTGTACATCCATTCCCAGCCTGCACAACTCTTGGATGCGGAAGTAGAGCGTTTATGACTCACTGGGTGAATTCATACTGGTCCACGCTACCAACAGTAATCGGCGTCATTGTGATGGACAATGTATTGAACTTCGATGACAGCGCGGAATCACAGAGTGTACCTACTGGATATAACATGGTAACGTTTTAGTTTTCCAAACTTTTCAGTTTGTAGTGACATAAATCATATCCAATTAACGTCATTTAACAATGCGATTGCGTCATTTTCCACACCACTGAAGAATTGGATAGATTTTGTCGCTAGTAATTGAGATTGAACTTACAATTGTTTAGTCAATGCCGTTGATTGACGTTGACTTCTGAAAACGTTTGAGTGTGAGTGAGTGAGTTCGATTCCAGGAATATCACGGCGGTGGGCACCATATATGGGCTTCACACATTGTACCCATGTCGGGAATCGAACCCTGGTCTTCGACGTTACGAACTATCGCTTTAACCACTAGGCTATTCGACCGCCCCTTAAAAAAAGTTTGGCTTTTATACGAAAGTTATAGAACACATAAGTAAAATGTCAAAACTGGGACAATATGCCAGTGAGATCATGGCGGCGGACACCAGGAAAGGGCTTCACACATTTTTACCAATGTGGAGAATTGAGTTCGGGACTTGGGCGTGACGAGCAGAAGCCTTTGTTTTTAACTACTAGGTTACCTCATCGTCCATTTTCAAATTATTAAAACAAAAGTATTTATTAAAGATCTAAACGATTTCGGAGTACTCATTTGCATACCCGAAAGTCCAAGTTAGTATCTAGGCTTGAAGATCCGTCTGACTCAATGTCGTGAACCCGGCTATGTAATGCTAGCACAATCAACCAAGTCATCGAGACGGATTATCCCATCACTTGACTCGCAGTCTGATGCTTGCCATTAAAAGGCGACTAATTGGATCCACACGACTGCTCGATAACTTAGTTGATAGCATGTTGTCACCTTGACACATGGATGGCTGTCATCGTATCTCAAATGCGTGGATCGATGTTCACGATGTCAATCACTTGATTGTCTGGTCCATACTCGATTATTTACAGACCACCGTCATATAGCTGGAATATTGCTGACTGCGGCGTTAAACAAAAACAAACAAACAAAGAGTTGCTCGTGTATTCTTTCATTGGTTTATCTGGTCCACACTCGATTTTGTACATTCCACCTTGGTATAGCTAGTGGTTTCTGACTTCCGTGAAAAGACTCATGCATTTGTTGCAGCTGTTTCCCAGCGTTGTGAGCAGCATCGCCTCAAACAACAACAAAGGAGACTTCCTGACAGTCATCGGACGTCCTTTTGACTCAGCTGTTCTCAACTCTTTCATTCAATCCTACACCGCTCTGGGTCAGCCGGAGTTTGGCATGGAGAAGGTTTACATCTCCACCTTAACTGGGCCTTCTGTTACTGTCGGCGAAACCATCACCTACTCGGACCTTATGAGAAGTGACCACAGTACCCTCTGGTTGAGTGGCATCCCGTCCATCTTCCTCACTGACACTGGTAAGAAGGTTTGTTTGTAATGCCATCCAATCGCGCGTTATGCAACTATTCTAGTACGATAAATACTCTGGTAGATTCTGCTTCTATAGCTTCTTCGTTTGGAGAGCATTGACCTGACAATTAAGTGTCACGTCAATGGTCTCCAAACGGAGAAGCACTTCAATCAAACTACACTCACGAAATTCAGAGCTAAGACGTTGAGTGAGTTGGTTTAACGCCGCTTTTAACAGTATTCCAGTTTTATCACGACGTGTCAGCTTAATGTGGGCGGAAAGCCCGAAGTGACGCAGGTCTCAGACGTTTACCTCTTAGGTGAAACCCACGAGCACGGGTATGGTGCTGACAAACCTAGAAACATAATCGGGGCGAACCGGGATTCGAACCCGCCATAGGTTTCTGGCGTGCCCAAGGGACCCAACTCTACACAGCGAATCGCGGCGCCTCAGACGACTGGGCCACCCGTGCCCACGCTTAGATGTTGAAACGAAATTGAAGCTTGATCGTTTCTTTGTCATGATAATTCATGGAATTTGAGATATAATACACGAGTATTCATGAATGACGCCTACATGACATTGGGAGTTAAATACCTACTGTTGCCACCATTCCGACCAGATCGTAGCGGTATACATGGTATTGATTATGAAAGTATACTCGAACAGTCGAGTAGAAAGAGTCTTCCACTACAAGGTGCATCCTAACACTTGCAGTGGTCGCATTGTTGATGCATCGCTCACCACACTGACAACCCTGTGTAAAAATACTCATAGTCGGGGTGCAACCATTTCTAACATGTTGCAAACGAGAAGGGAGTTTAGGTCCACGGCAACCCATGCTTGTCTTAAGAGGAAACAAACGGGATCGGACGGTCAGGCTTTCTGACTTGGTTGATGCATGTCATCGTTCCTCAATTGCATTGATTGATGCTCACGATGTCCATCACTGGATGTCTGGTCCCAACTTGATTATTTAGTTGTTTGGCTGGTCTGTTGGTTTATTCCAGCTGTATGGCAGCAGTCTGTAAATAATCGAATCTGGACCAGACAATCCAGTGATTAATATCATGAGCATCGATCAACGCAATTGGGATCGATGACATCCACCACCTAAGTCAGCGAGCCGGACCACCCGATCACGTTAGTCGCCTTTTACGACAAGCATAGTCGCCTTTTACGGCAAGAATGGGTTGCTGAAGACCTATTCTACCCCGGATCTTCACGGGTCCTTGATTATTTAGAGACCGCCGTCATATAGATGGACAATAGCTGAGTGCGGCGTAAGGCAACAAAGATATAAACAAACAAACTAACCATTCTATTATCCGTGCAATTTGGACTCACACAATTTAACGTATTCTTGCAGCCGACTTTCGGGGTTACATGAAAACCTGCTACCATCAATCATGTGATAACATGAGTCAGGTCACGGACAAGAGGATCCAGTTCGTCTGGAAGACGACCCAGGCTGTCATTGACACTGTGGGCAAACTGGCGCCAGCATCAAGTGCAGGTAACTCTGCATCACGTACATTCCGAATGTTGTTCTCACTATGTGTCTAAATTGATTGGTGCAAGAATAGGGACCCTTTATTTTATATTTGTAAACCCTTTATCAGAATAAATAGAAACACTGACAGTCAAGTCAGAACATTGATATTAGTGTAGTCAGTTCTTGTCATCGTCAGTCTGTTATTGTTTCCAGGAGTACACCGTCTGGATATGTCTATGCTTGGAGTTCTCGTGGGGATAATCCTGTGGATCAACACTGCCTTTGCTGTATAGACCCTCTGTAACCAGTTGCCCGCGCATTATAGACGGGACAGGCTGAAGTTTACATTCGGACACATTAAAATGTTACCGACCGATCCTTTAAAGAGGCCCTACCCTTATTTTGTTCAATTTGCCTGCTTATTTCTGTTCCACTTTTCCTATTTTCGGAGTTCGTTGTCTTCTTTAATGTGTACATTGTTAGTATCCCTTCATGGCGATCAATAATGGCGTTCATGATTTCTTTCCTAAAAGGGAATACTATTATATAGTAATGAACACACACTGTACCACTTTCTTGTTTGTTTTAAGTGAATTAAATTAAATCGTTGTGCGATGAAGAATATAATGGACAAGATCAATATTCAGAATGACAAATTCTATATTTGCTACAAAAAAACAAAAAACAAAGTTAATATCTGCCGAAATTAACAACCCCCCCACCCCCACCCCCCCCCCCCCCCCCCCCCCCACCCCACCCCCCACCCCCGATCCCCCAACAAAAAAAACAACACACAACACAACACAAAAATCAGCTCTCATGAAGAAAACTGGAACCACACCTCACCATGTCGGTTAAAGTGTTCAAAACGGAGGAAAAAGTGACACAAGGATGTATGACGACACAATAGTTAAAGGATATTTGCCTTGTAAAACTGTATATCTGAAAGACCTGAAAACATTTTATGAGTGGCAACATAATCTGTTTGTGTGTGTTCAGAGGAAGTTATAACTACAGCTATTTTAATGTTGACTATCAATCAGAGCGTCAGTCTCAGGGGTATCCGTGCGTGTTACTCGTAGTTTCAAGCGAGTTCTAAGAGACCAACATAAACGAGTGAGTGTAAACCTACTAACACCAGGTGTTGAGGAGTGTTGGCTTGTTACAGTCCGATAATCCTGTTTCGAAGGATGACGCAAGTAGATAGATATTATAAGTAAAATATCCACATCAAGTATTGAATCCCACAAAAAGCATTCAGCACAGTGGAACAAAAGAGATTTTTATAGTCAAATCAATGTAAATTAGTCAATAAGTTTAACTTTAGCTTCATGTATATTGATGATGTGATATTGTTCAATAACCAGGAAATAGCAAATTACCTTCCACTGATTTACCCACCTGAACTAGAAATAACGATGCCCAGTGAGAGCGCTACATCTGTTTCATATTTAGATCTATGCATAAGATTGTAAGTGACAAAACACTCTCAACAAGACTGTCTGACAAGAGGGATGACTTCAACTTTCCAACAGTCAATATGTCGAACAATATTGTTGCAGCTCCAGCCCTTGTTGTCTACATTTCACAATTTTTGAAGTACAATCGTGCATACTCTTTCTGCCAAGATTTGAAAAAGTGTCACTAGACTCTTGCTCAAAAGCTGTCTGATCAAGGTTACAACATTAAAGGCCCCAGTAAAACTTTCAAAAAGCATTTATCTTAGTAATGTGGAAGGAGGTGGGGTAGCCTAGTGGTTAAAGTGTTCGCTCGTCACGCTGAAGATCCGGGTTTGATTCCCCTCATGGGCACAGTATGTTACACCCCTTTCTGGTGTCCCCTGCCGTGATTTTGCTAGAATATCGCTAAAAGCAGCGTAAAACAAAACTCGCTCACTCACTAGTAATGTGGAGGGCATTATGTCGCATCAGTGACAATAATGATGTCCGGTGCAATTCCCTATTTTGACTTGTACCATATGTTCCGTGTTATTTCAGATGAACAATTGACTTGTCTGTGCACATATTTGTGACGGGTGTCAACGGTGGGGCAGGTTACGCTCACCTTTTCGCGAACAAAAAGGCAAAAAGGAAAATATGACAGGATTTTGTCGCTCTTAATCATAAGTTACTCGGAAAAGGTATGTATGGTAAGATAGGGACACCACTAAGAAGTATATATGGAAACGTAAAATCAGTAGTAGCCTTCAGATGCAATACGCTTTCAGGTGTAAGACAGGGATGTTCACTATACAGCTATCACCACTTCTTTTTATCTTTTACATTGATGAATATGGGGATGATATCGTGAACACCGATTACAGTTGTGTTATCGTAGATGAAGATGTACAGGCATAATCGTTTAGACTTTTTGCTGATGATGTTGCAATAACTGCAGATCGTGTTTTTAATTTGCAGACAACGAGGAATGTTCCATTTAAATACTGTGCTGAATGGGGAGGGTATCGGTAAATACTGTTACGACAAAAGTTGTTGTTTTCAAGAAAGTTTGAAAGATATATAAACATGGGAATGGTTTCTCGGTTCAGAAAGACTTGCAGTAATATATAACAAATAAAATATCTTGATTTAACAGTTCATGTCGAAACCTAATTACATGTGCATGTAGAGTACTTTAAGTGCAAGCAGATAATGCAATGCATTTATCTAAGCAGTTTCTTAGTAAATTAAGAAATATACCCGAAATTAATATATCTTTTCACATATGTATATCTAATAAACAAATGGTGTTCCACTAATTGTCCTGAAACAAAATGTCATTGTGCTATTGGTCTCATGGCCACATATACGAAATAAATCTGTCTGTCTGTCTAAGTAATTCTTTGTTCTGTTTAGCATGAATTCCTATATTGCACCGTCGCGTTCATTTGTTGTAAGCGAAGCGGTCGGACCAGAAGCTAAGGAGCAACTAAGATATTCAGTAACTTTCCTTATCCATGAACGGTTGTTACGGGTTCAAATCCCAAAGTGACACGGAGCTCGGTGTGTCTGAACAATATCCGTGCAAGTGGGTTTCACCAAAGCGATAAGCTTTGTTTTGTTCTTCTTTCACACATAAAGTCGACTGGAAGTGACATAACTGAAACAATCCAAAAAGTGAGCAGGGCTTACTAATACCCCGACTTTGACCTAATATCAAAACATGAAAAAGCAATATTTTCTCAGAAAATCCTCTTATCGAAATCCAACTTTAAATGCACTGCAACTGTCCTATTGGTGTAGAAACTGTATCCCCAATTGGAAAATAAGCCATGAAGCAGTTTTCAAGTTGTAGGTTGCACAAACATGAGATACATTATATTTATTTCAGAAAATACACATTTCACAATCAAACTTTGCTCTCCCTGCACCTCGTCTGTGAGAATGGAAACTGTTCCCTAAATTTGAAAAGAATCCATGTATCAGCTTTCAAGTTATAGGTCTCACATATGTTTTGGCAAATAAATTCTAAGTTAAAAAATGAAAAAAGCTGTACTTTTTAAAAGAAAATCTAAATATTGAAATAAAACTTCGCACTGCAACTCTCCCCTTAGTATAAAAAGTATTCACCAAGTTTGAAAATAATCTATATTTAGTAGTTTTTAAGTTATTGGTCGCACACAAAATATGTCCTCGGAAAGATGAACGGACGGAATTCCTAGGTATCATTATATACCACCGTCGCTTCACATGTAGGTCGGGGGTATAATAGTGTTCATGCAGTGTTAAACCCAACTAACCAAGTCACTCACTCACGTAAATTCTGTGGCAGTAAGGTAGTTTGTGAAGTGGCTATGTAATATACATTTCCACGTCACGTTCATTGTGTCACAAAACTGCACGATTTTCTGTTTAAATGTTGTAAAATAAATATTGCAGCAATAGAAGCAACACGGGTGGCGCAGCAGTTTCTTAGTCAGAGTTTTGTCTTTTTATTCAGTAGAGCCGGTACAATTGTGATCATGCAGGTGGTATGTTCACATTATATATGTTTAGCATCAAACTCATCAGTCGAATGTGATAACTATGAAATAGCAACACGAGGGGCCCGATTTGTTGTAGTGGATTTCTTAAATATGAACTTATATATAAGGGGTTACGTGCGGGGATTTCTTGCGTCAGAAAAAATTACACATTTCACGTTGCTGTATTGTTTCTTCTGGCGATAAACTCTTCGACGTGATTAATATATTCCATAACCTTTACCAAATTGGAGAAGCGGGGCTTTAACCCTGTTATACTCATAACATAAATGTGTCTTTTTGCTGCAATTACAATATGGTTTAGAAAGTTGTTATTAATCCTTCCTAGAGGAATGTAAATTGAACAATATGTCCATGTACAATGTACATCACTTAAGGATTGTTTTAGATCTTCCCAAACGTTGTTGACAATTGTGCATTCCAGATAAACATGGTATTTTTTTGCTATTCCATGTAATGAGCAGGTATCGTTGTCGACGAGTTTCACTTTCAACAATTCTCTTTTATCGTAAATAATTCTGTGTAAGAATTTGAATTGTAATTTGGTATCCTGCGTACTTTTTCTATGTCGCCTATCTATGTACCGTATTCGACGTAATAAGCGCCCCGCTCCGAATAAGCGCCCAGGGCGATATTTTCTTGTATATTGGCTAGTGAACAATCTCATTTAGCACCCCTTCCGACTGATCAATGTACATGAGACTTTTTTATTCGCATATAATACGCACTCGTATGCTACAGGCACCCTTAATTATGGGCAATGACATTCTGGAAAAATTTATCTGTCGTATATAAACATTTCAGGCTGTCAGCATAAACCACGATATTTATCGTTCAACTCTGTTTTTTTCACCAAAGTAATATTCTAATAAGAGACCAATATTACTCATTTTAAGTGCGCCCTGGGCGCTTATTACGTCGAATACGGAAATTATTTATCTACGTTTCCCATTTGTTGCAAGCTGCTGGGGGCGGTCGGGTAGCCTAGTGGTTAAAGCGTTCGCTCGTCACGCCAAAGACCCGGGTTCGATTCCCGACATGGGTACAATGTGTGAAGCCCATTTTTGGTGTCCCCCGCCGTGATATTGCTGGAATATTGCTAAAAGCGGCGTGAAACCATACTTACTCACTCACTCGCACACTGCTGATGGATTTACTGAAGTAATACGATTATCTAGAACCTTTACCTGATTTAAGTAAGTCACAGATGGGTTGCTTATGTTAAGTGATAAAGTGTTGATAAAAATAGTTCTCCATGATTTAGGTAAATTTAGGTTCAATCGATTGTAATATGGTATAGTACCCTTATATCATGCATTGTTTTAAGTTTGGTAAAAAGTATCTTCAGGAGGGTTTGGGAGAGGTATTGGTAATGAACTAGTGTTGAGAAAGCCCATGTTTTAATTACAGTAATTTTGCCAACTAAAGTGAGGTTTCGTTTTCTTCAAATTGAAAGAATTCTTGTGATTATTTCATAATGAAGTAGTGTCATACTTCAACATCACCATTATGTCAGGCTAAATTTAAATCTTGATTGGCATTTCGTTGCCATTGATCCTATCCATATTGCCTTAATTTCATCGATATTTATGTTTAGTCCAGGCATTTTCTAAAACTTGTTTAACGTGTTTATGGCTTCGTTCAGGAAGGCATCAGCGCCGCCTAGAAATAATTCAATATCGTGGGCATACTATCTGGTATTCAGAGTGGCTTTATATTATGATCCTATGTTTGTTAGCACCATGTCCGTGCTTGTAAGATCAGTGTCATGGAAAATTTGTTTTTTGTTGTTGTAAGATGATTAAGGTATGGGTGGTTCCGGAGCAGCGGAACCAGTAGCGTTAGAGATGCACCAAACCATAGCGGTTCGAAGACCACCTACGTCACAGCTGATGGTTTGCCAAGAACCTTCAAGCAGCCATATGGACCACCTGATTCCACTTTAAGGTGGTGGCCAGGGGATCAGACCCTCGACCTCCCGCTCTCAGGGCAGAACCTTTATCCAACCCACCGTCTTTCCTGATGGCGCAACACAATTATTACGTACTCACAAACACGACACTCTCACACAAAGACACTCAGACACATACAGACAGATACACACGCACACACATTCGCTCACACACACACTCACACAGACAGGCAGGCAGACACACACACACACACGCACACACACACACACACACACACACACACACACACACGTGTAGTTAATTATTTCCGTCACGCTACTTCATTTTCGCGTTTTCTTAAATTGTTTCCAGTTTTATAGGGGCGGTCGGGTAGCGTAGTGGTTAAAGCGTTCGCTCGTCACACCCTGAAGCCCCAGGTTCGAGTCCCAACATGGGTACAATGTCTGGTGTCTCCCGCCGTGATATTGTTGGAATATTACTAAAAGCGTCGTTAACCCATACTCACTCACTCTAGTTTTATAAGTTAATATGTAACTGGTAATGAAGTGGTAATGTATTGGCTATCAAATATCAAATAAGTTCCCCCCCCCCCCCCCCCCCCCCCTCACACACACACATACATACACACACACGCACATACACACAAACACACAAACACAAACACACACAAGATGAGTCACACGGTCAGCAGACGCCGACATTGATTACAGCATTACAACCATTTTTCCAGTTAACTGTCCTCTTCCTGGAAGTCGCCTCATTGATCTGCTACTTTGGAACATTTGTGTATATTGTTGCCATGCAATATGTTAGACAGAATGCTTGCACATACAATACATCCATATATGTCGATGTATAGACACCATGTGTATAATTCCATAATTTATTCTTATTTTGTGGCTGAAGCAATGGCGAAGTAGTCCCTGTTGTCAGGCACAGCTTGTTTGTGATTTCAATATTTTCTTTACAACAGCTATCGTGTTATGTTGTTGAAACACATTTGTTAGTTAAAGTGTTATGATACAATTGCAATCAATACTAAAAGTACAAGTGACAAGTTTCCGCATGTATGAGACCGCCTACGTGGTCATGCGTCTTCCTGAAAAAAGGATGATCGGGGTTTTGATCCCCTGCCATCATGCAAAAATAGGATTAAAGGTGGTACTTGTTCTAAAGGGTTTAAACCCATCTTCACCACACCTCATCTTCCGATGTTTGAATTATATAGCATCCTTCCTCCCTCAACGACACCCATCACCGTCATATAGCTGGAATATTGCTGAGTGCGGCGTAAAACAATACCAACAAAAAACAAAAACACAAACACAACGAGACCCCTTAACACACCTTAAACCCAAAATCACACCTACACCCTCCCCCCAAGGGCTCCAACCCCCACCCCAAACACACACAAACACACACTTTGTAAGCCATTGGATGATTGTTACCTGTCAAGCAGGAATCAGTTGATGGAACCTGAAAATCAATCTTAAACGCCAGTTATTAGAGAGGTGGGTAATGGGTTGGGATGGGGGTAGGGGGGTCGGGCGGGAGGGGGGGGGGGGGGGGGGGGGGGGAGGGGAGGGGAGGGGGGGGAGGGGGGGAGGGGGGGGGGGAGGGGGAGGATGCGTTCAGTATATCGATTCATGTTGCTGATGATGTTTCCGTGATCATTTTCTCTCGAAACAGGTTTTTCTCAGAAATTTACTGTTTGGATAGGATTGAACTGTTCGAGCTGTTCATGTTTGCGTGATCATCTCCCCTCGATACAGGTTTTTCTGAGAATCTTAGAATGACGTCACGGCATATATAAAACCGCTTAGGATTGTTGGTGCCTTGTCAAAACCGTAGGCAGACCGTTGGTGGCGAACTACAAAATGAACGCTCTCTCAGTTTACAGTGTGATGTTCATCATTGGTAAGAAATCAATATATATATA